TTACCATTGCAATTAAAAGTTATTATCGATCATGTATTTTACATTCAGCTTGTTGAGTGTTGACCATGGAAAGATCTTCCCATGACTTAAACCAACACAACGTCATTCTGTGTGCCAAAAGTTATTTTTTGAGTAAAGTGGCAAAAGATTAAAAAAGGCTGGGACATTTAAACGATATTATAACTTGATTGAGTTCTCTGATCCGGCACAGAAAACCATGCAACCAGTCTATACGTTTTGTGATGAGTCAACGTGTCTGTCCTTTTCTTCCGATTCAGAAAAGAGATACCAGGTTGCCAAGGAGATCTTGGAAACAGAAAAGAAATATCTTTCCTGCCTAAGAACCCTTAAAGAGGTGAGATTTGTTCGGTTATACTCAAGGAGACGTAAATCAAAGTGAACGTTAATTGTATTTGTGTCAAGTTTTGCGAGTATTGGATAATTCACATTGCTGTTTATCAGTGTTGCCTATATTGTTGCTTCTGGTAAAAACAAGAAAACAAACTCATTTAATCACATAAATTGAATGTAGAGTTAGTTACACAGGCCAGATGTAGGACAATGCGCATTATATTTCATGTGAGCATTAAGTTTCCTTAAGTGGTATAAACGTTTATTTTCCGGTATACAGTGTATAAAGCCATGGTAATTAACATTCTTAACAGATTTTGCCTTACAGAAACTCTTCAGTAGTTATGTAATACATTAATCATGTCCTTGATCCATTCTATTTTAGGTGTTTGAGGAACCAATGAGAGAAAGCAATTTAATTCCGTCTAAAGAAATTGAGTGAGTGTAATGTCTTTGTATTGGTGTTCAAAAATAATATCAATAATGGCTGTTTTTCCCTAAAAACATATCATGCATGCTAATCTAACTGACCATCCAACATTACGTTATTAACTTGTTATTTTTGGTTTACTTTCTTTAGCTCCTTGCTTCCTTTGCCACTTTCTCTTTTCAAAGTGTTTTTATTTTTTCGACTTTCGAAATAACTCTCACAAAGTTCGGATGTGATAAACACAATTAGCCATTAAATAATCATCCTTCTTTTCCATGTTAAACACTGTTAAACAACCTTATCAGTTGTGAATTAAGTAGCCAGTACGCCAAGAGAGATATCTGCTCAATGACGACGTTCTTTTTTACCATTCCTCTGTTATATTGTCTTCAGTTCAACCACTGTTGCCACGTCATTTAATTCTCCGAATTATTGTCCCTCCTTCTTCTAGCGTGTTGTTTCCAGGGGAGCTGGTTCATATCCTGACAAGTCACACTCATTTCATGAAGGATTTGGAAGAAAGGCTTCAAAACTGGAAGTTACAGGGAATTGTTGGAGATATATTCACTAAACTTAGCGGCTCTTATCACGTAAGCCTCAACCACACTTGCCTTTCTGAAATGTTGCAAAGTGCTTTACTTAGTGGCTTAAAATAAGTCGATTGCTAGCTATAAGGTATTACTTGCTATTGTAGCATCGTCATGATTACCTGACCTGTATTAAAAAAAGAAGTCGATGAACTCTCTGGACTTCGTCCATTTTTTCATTTTATGTTCGCTTTCACGGAACAGACCATAATTAATAGAGAGAATGGTTAGGAAACCTGGCAAAACACAAAACGTGGTTGTGTGTGTCATACAACTAACTAATAGAAGCATGATCTCGATTGTGTAATTTATGCATAGTCTATGTGCATAAAACAAAAGAAGGACCTTCCAACATAAATCTTAGCTTGTTTGTTTGCTTCTTTGATGTTTACCGGGCTTCTTAATTATTCCCTCTATTGACTGTGGCCAGGCCTAGAGCAATTGCTACTGATCCTCAGCGATCATGCTGAAATCAGCCACATGATCATGAAAGTCATTGTAGATCACAATTATCATGTCAAAGTATCTGTGTTGTATCTGGCGCAACTGCACATGCTGTTTAGTATGTACCGATGTTTCATATGTTGATCGTAAGTTGCTTTGATTTCGCATTCGCAGATCGATGTCTTACGTATTTATTCCAATTACGTGAACAATTTTCCCAAGGCAATTGGCGTGATAAACAAGAGTTCAAGAGGATCTCAAAAATTTAGGAAATTCTTACAGGTAAGACTGCTAAAAGATAATAAATAAATATTTTTATCTTTGTTTGATATATTCAGGTTTCACTGTATTTGGAACATTTATCTCTTTTTTTTCCGAACTATTTTAGTTTTAGTTTTTTTAGATAAAATGTCTTTTGGTTTTGATAAAGTTGATATGAATCTTTTTCTTGTCTTTTAGAATTGCTCATCAAAGTCAGAATGTGAAGGACTAGATTTACCYGCATTTCTGCTCACTCCAATTCAACGGCTTCCTCGATACGTTCTTCTTCTTCGAGTAGGTCTATTTTTAGAATGCTTATTGTATAATCTTCATATTGCAACCTGTTCTATTGTCTTTATCGACGAATATGTATTACAAATTATCAGGCATCTGTGGCGTTAAGAAGTATCATCGTCAATATCGACTGCCTGGCCGGGCAAAAATCTTAACAAATGTTAGAGAAAGCTGTAACCATATCCTGCTATGGAATAGGTTTTTCTTGCTTGGATAAAAAGTTATGACCTTGGCTGGGACCAAGCACACTGTCCATAGATGGCCTCAGCTTTGCAATAACTTGAAAAACAAACGGGCTTCAAATTCCATGAGTCGATTATCGCAAATCAATTTAATCGTCATTAAGCTTATAATTAACTGTAACTGAAAGGACAGTTTTCATGTTTTCTTTTTATTGTTTTCACAGCAACTTTCAAAGCACACTGATGCAGGACATCCTGACAGTTTCCATATAGAGAACGCCTTAGAAACTATGAAGCAGATGATTAATATTCTAAATGATTCCATTCAAAGCTCTTGCAAGCTTGCCAACAACTCACAGTTTCGACGAAGCTTCAAGAGAAAGTTAGTTGATTTACTCTGTGACAAAATTACTTTGTTATGGCCGCGACTACTCCTACAGAGTTTCATAATTTTCTTGTCGTAGAGACATCAAAATAATTTTTGAGAGTTGATCGATTTATTTATTTTTTTTAATTTATTCATTCATTTATTTATTTATTTATTTTATTTTATTTTTTTATGTAGGGCATCTTGAAAATGTGTCTTATGCTTAAAACTTTTTAAAATTAAATCCTAAAAAGGATAACGTCTTGTGCTGTCACAATTGTTTTTATTGTCATTCAAGTACGCAAACTAGCAAGTAATATCGGGTCACAAGCCACTGATATAGTCCAAGAAAATTAATTTACTTATATCTGTGCCTGATTTAACTTATTCCTAGGTCCTTGAAGAAGAAGGGAAAAGAACTTCAGAAGAACAGGCAGAATTCTCAGGAGAATGATAGGTGTGCATCTCATTTGAAAGTTCTTTACCCATGTTTTGCTGATTACTTAGCAAGTGGCAACAACAGTAGTGTACAGTGCATTCACTCGACAAGACATGACAATTTTAAGTGGCACCCCATGTCACTTAACAATTTGATGTCGTGAGCAAACTGCGAGTAACTCCATCGGATCACAAAGCTTAATCACTGCACCTCTTGCAGAGACTCTCAGGCAAGTACATCAACTCAATAAAGTGTTTCTTTTCACAGAGGATCTGTGGGAGCAAACAGCGTCTCGGCCCTGTCCCTAGATTCCGCTGGACCAGGCAATACTTGCTCGCAGGATGGATCGCCTGAGCGTATTACGTCTCAAGCTGTTATTTTAGAAGAGAAGTGAGTTTTGCAAGATACTTCGATGTGGTTGTTTGTTGAATTATTGCGTAATTTTGGGTTTCTTTGCGTTCAACGATGTCGGTTAACTCCCGGGTTAGGGTTACTCTTAGTGTTTGCTGTTATACGTTCGTGATGAATTGCCTCGTATATCAAGCAAAACAAATTCGGCTGTTTGCATCTTGTTCTAAAAATAAAATATTGTTCTTTGCACTGAATATATATTGGTCAATCTTCACCAAGAAACTTCTAGAAGATGAAGCACAATCTTTCTTGCACTACGACTTATGGTATGATTGCTTTTGAAAACTATCAGGACCAATAAGAACGATTTGCTCTTGCTAGCGATTAACGTTCAAACGTACGTTTATGTCATCAACTACGACTGTGGAAGTGATAATGTTTTTTTGTTTTTTTTTTTCAACTTTCCCATCGATGCAGCATAAAACCCCAGATTACTACCTTGCATATAAATAGTTCCTACTTTGTTAGTAATACGTCAATAGCATCAGTAAACAAAAACCCAACAATAACTCTATAGCAACAGAAACAAGACGTTTGACACAAAAAGTTCATCCTCAAACTAATGGTCTTTCTTTTCCTTTTAAACAGAGAATCCCCCACCTTGTCTCGGCCTGCCAGTATAGGAGACAAAGAAACATACTATGAACGAGACACCCACGAGGAGTTCGCCGCCATTGAAGAGGAAGACAGTGACGATGTAAAAGATAACAAGAATTCAGGGTGCGTCTCGAATGATTAAATCGGAATAAACTACATTTACACAAGGTTGCCCTTTAGAACGAAAGGAGCTGCAACGTGGAATGAAAAACTCCAAAACCTCGAAATAAAACTATGTGAGAGCGACCAGAAATCATGTCTGCAAACATTGTCTATGGTGG